CATAAGATGATTCACAAGAAAAACATTCTTACATTTCACTGAACTTTCCAAACTTCTTAAAATACTTTAAAAGTATTTCTATTATACAAAAGAATCTATTTTTTATCTCAAAATAATTCTGCTGGCTTCTAAATACTCATATTATGAAAAGATTCTCAATATTATAATAAAATCATTTGAAAACAAGAAAAGTTTGAGAATTATTATAAAATAATGTTTTCCTTACTTATAGTATTAATAAACCCAATCAAACTCTTAGTTGTTATAAATAGAAGTTGAAAATTTTTTTTTTAGCTTTTAACTCACTTGGATTGATAAAATGAATAATTTGAGAAAAAGATAGGATCAGATCTTACAATGCATTATGGGGTAGATCAATAACAGGTTCTTTTAATCTTAGAAGAATTTTAGATTAATTTAAATTTTTAGATCTTAAATATAGTGAAAAACCGATAACAGAAGAAGACTAGCCCCTAATCATAAGGAATGTTTATTTCTTAATTCAATAGAATTATGTCTATATTATATTTATATTTAATGGATTTTCTTCATACTATCTTTAACTATCTTAGTTCCAATAAAGTTTCTATATCAGTTTAATTTCAAGATATTAGAAACTTTTTGATATCAATTTAACAGGCCCTATCATATATTTAATTAAGGTTCTTAATCCCTTTCAAACACCCCACCACATTTCGATTTAAAATCAATTATGAGTTAATTTTTTAAGAATTTTCATAATCCTTTGCAGATTAGAATAGAGACATTTCTGAAATATCATTTCTTTATTGGCTTGTGTGATCATTTTATCTAAAATTTAGAATGATAAGGGCGAAACTTTAATGTGAATAAAAATAACTTTAATTTCTGGTTCTGAAAAGTATTTAATGACTTTAACATTTTAATCCTTAAAATTTAATATCCTTAAAATTAGAATTTACCTCTTTCTAAGACAGCATTCTGTAAAGTCTTATTTTTTTTTAAAAAGGATTCAAAATCTTTGAGTGACTAGGTGAAATATGAATGATATTATTACAATCTAATTCTTTTTGAAGTTACGTCATAACCGCTTATAAACAAAAAAGAATTTAAGTGTGTTTTAAGTTCAGGAATCAGGACAATAGCAATATTAATTTAATTGATATTTAAAAGAAATAATGGCCAAAAAATGATACTAAATTTTAGAATTTGAAATAATGATTGTTATTTAATTTTCTATTAAATTAGAGAGAGAGTATTTAAATGTTGAGTTTATGATTTTTTACAATTGTTTAGAAAATTCTTGCAAAAGAAACAACGAAGAATTGATTAATATGAAATGTTTGATCTTATTATATTATTTTTTTTTAATATGATATTACTTCATAACTTTGATAGTTATTTCTAAATATAAATCGTATTATTAGATCCTTTTTGCAATGTAAGCCAAATAAAATTGTTTAGCTTCTGATTTCTTCCCTAATTCAAATAGTGAATCAGCTAAATATAAATTAAAGTTTGATTTACCTTTTCGTTGTAATCTTAGAGGATTAATGTTAATAGAAAGAGCTTAATCATAACATGAAATTGCATCAGTATATTTCTATAAATTGTGTAGTGCATAACCTGAATTATTATATAATATACCTTTATTACTCCATGCAATATCAAACTTAGGATTAATGGAAATTGCTTTGTCTAAACATTCAATGGCATCTTAATATTTATTCAAATTATTTAATGCATCTCCTAAATAATAATGCTTAAAAATTATACTATACCTTTATTATTCCATGCAATATCATACTTAGGATTAATGGAAGTTGCTTTGTCATAACATTCAATGGCATCTTAATATTTATTCAAATTATATAATGCAACTCCTAAATAATAATTCAATTCTTCATACCTTCTTTTAATAATCTTTCAGCTTCTTTAATGTTCTATTACTTTTTATCTTCACTTTCACCAATAATTTGTTAAATATTAATTTGATTTTAATCAGCATTAATAATATAATCTCCATTTTTAGTTAACTCTATTACCATATTTTTTAATGTCTCAAGAATATTATTTAATTATATTATTTGTTTTTCTATAATAATTATTGAATATATACATATTTAATTTTCTTTTTCCTTTGAGTAATACCTTTTGATTATATTTATTTATGACTTAAAAGTCAAATAGTCTTTTGTTTATAGTTGTTGTTTCATCTGATCTAATATTGTATTATCTTGTTCCATTATTTTAAATATCTATTCAAAATAATTCTAAAGTTATTTAGATATTTCTTTGTATTATTTACTTTATTGATTTTAAACTTGTATTAATTCATTTATATATTAATTCATTTTAGAGAATCGAATGCAATCATTTAAATGATCTGAATGAGTCGTAGTTAAACATACATAACAATATTATGTTGCATTTTAACAATTCTGATTCAAACAAAATCCCATTATTTCTTCATTTTCATGATTTAAGTATTTACACTTAAAGAATTCCATTTGTATCTTAAAAAATTAAAATTTATTGATGATTTCATTCTAATATAATTTGACAATACGTTAGAAAGTAAGGAGAATCAAAACAAAATTGATGAGTTAGTTTCTTTAGTAAAGTTTCTCAATCAATTCTTCTAATATCTAAATAAAAAATAAAACGGAGTAACATATGAAGTGGAACGAATTTGTCAACTCACAATTAAATATCTAATTAACAATAAAAATTAAATAAAATAGTATTTTCATCACTAATTTAATGTAATATTAATTATTTAAGTATAGTATATTTCACATCATAAAGTCATTTTTCAAAAATTAATTATCTCTCATTACAAACATGTTTGCTACTGTGAATAATGAATATATTATGGTAAAACTCTATAAAAAGTTATGAAGAAAATTATAAAAATCGTTTATAATAATTATCAGCTTATTTGAGAGGTTAACTAATAATAGAATGTTATTATGTTTAAAATAAGTAGAGAGTCACTATTAGTTTATGTCATTTGAAACTTGAGTATCTGAAAATGTTATAGTTTTTGTAAATTTTAATTGGCTTAATAATCATCCAAAAGCTCCATTATATGTCAGGATACAATGATTTTAATATCACATTATTTCTTATCAAAAAAATCTTCTTTCCTATTCTAAACTTTTTTATCTTATTAACATATTTCCTTTATTTATATTTCTTAAACTAATGTATGGTTTTTGAATTAAGCACCTTTAATTCTTCAAAACTTTATAAAATGTACTCTAATTAATTATTGATTGAATTAAATCAACTTCATCACTTCTCTGAATTTTTAACAACTAAACATAGTACAATTGGCATTTGGATATAGAAAAAAAGTTCAAATAGTGGTAATAATACCATTTCAATGAGTTACTGAGAAACAACAATTAAATTATCTTTTTAATGATAAATTAATGAAATCTTAAAAACAGTCTAATATTTTTGACTAAAAGCAACAGATATCTTGAGTAGAAGATATTGCAAAAAATTTTCAGACAAAGCAATCGACCGCCCACCAAATAAAAATCGCAATACTAATAACGCTAAAAGCTCTTAAACCATCCTAATTAGTTTCCAAAATCTTAAGACTTTACTCTCTTAAAAATCAGCCTCTACAACCTCATTCTATCAACTAAAGAAAATAAAGATAGAAAAGAAGTTGACTATTGTATTAATTTTTTAGACATCCTCATTGGGAAATTAAACATAGACAGGTGATATCTCATACCTATCTATTTTTTAGGGATAACCATATTGAAAGCCAGGAGTTTGAAGAAAAAAGTTTACTCAAGTCTATAGCAATAGGGCTGAGACACAAAAGATCTAACTCTAAAGATCCCCATAATGTAGATATCTTTAACAAATCTAGCTATGGCTCTCATTGTTATAAGGCCATACTAATTCGTAATATCAAAGTTATACTTCTAATTTCCTCTTATTTAATAAACTTAGCTTCCGTCTCTTTTCAACATTTAAAAATTTCTTAATCTCATCCTAATATTAAGAGATCTTTAATTCGAATTAGACTCTCCATTTATCCTTAAAACTAATACAAAAAATTCCTATTAGGTATCTATAAAGGGTTAACAAAGTTGAGACATCAGAAATAGCAACGTGTTGTAAGTTTATCTTGTGTTTAGATGTGGACAGTTTATTAAAATAGTTTTTTATTAGATTTTGAAAATAAAAATTAACACTTTCAAAAAAATGGAAAGATCATATGTGATCTCCTAACACAATAAAAAATTTATATCTATTAATTTTTAAATATGTATAACTCCTTCGAAATTAAAAAATTATATAAAACAAGTGCTCATAGCTAAAGTGTCTCTACACTCTAGAGATTATATTGATGGTTAATGCATACTATAGCCAATATAAAAATATGGTTTCTTAATAAGAATCTTATTATTAGTATCGTTTGATTTGATATCCGCTATAAAAAACAATAATTTATCAGGGGATGAACACTTTTCTTTAAAAGCTGATCATATAATCCAATTCTTAAGATTAAGATGATTCATTGTAATTTTATTTGACACTAATCATTGATAAACTTTCTAATTAAATAACATCATTTATGCTATTCTAGATTATAGTTATTTAAAATTCTAAATTAATTTATGGGTTTGTCAATCTCATATTACTATGTAAGTATCTTATATATTCATTCATCATTTGCCAAATAATTATGATTTTATATCTTGATACTTGTGATAAATTCCTCATTTTTTGTAAATCTCTGCATCTCTGATGATCATTAACATTAAAATTTGTAAGAATAATTTTACTACAGATTCAATTTGACTATAATGTTCTTTAATTTTGGTGCTAAAAAGTGATTAAGTTATTCCTTGCTCATTACATGCCAAATAATTTCTATCTTTAAGCATCATAATTAAAAAAGGATGTGTTTTTTTTGAAAATTTAATTGAAATTTGTTATGGGAAAACTTAGCCAAGTTGAGTTGAAACAAAACTTGCTTAGTAACTATTTCTTAATCTAAATATTTTTTTTAAGAAGCTTACATATACACTCATCAGGCTAACTTAAGTATTGCCCCTATTATTTTAAGTAGCCTTCTATAGGAATTACTTTGTAATAATTATAATTTATCCTCTCAATCGTATCTTTCATCATCATCTCTGTTTCTCTTTATTATGCTCGACCACCTTTTATGAGTTTAGATATGATTTTTAATGGCTTTAAATCATTTTAATTACTTCAAAAATGTATTAAGCATGAATAGCACTCTATTTCTAATTTGAATATGATATTTGGAAAAACTTAAGTTATTGTTTATATTTATATCTTTTTTTTTATTTTAACTCAATACTTAAAAACAAACCTAATAAATAATAATCTAATATTTTTAAGATTTTATAATATATTTATATTACTTGTTGAATTAAATATCTGCCATTTATTATTATTTTATGAGTACTTTTCATTCTTAATAATTGATAAAATATATGAATTAATTATACAAGTATAAGTAAGTATTATATGATTAAAAATTGATCTAATTTGATTTGATCAATATAATGTAGAAAGTCAACTGAATAATAATAGAATGTTTTAGATTGAAGTATTATTGTGATTTGCATTATAAATTAATAATATTTAAGTATAAAGATAAATAATTAATTATTATTATTATTTTAATTTTTTAAGATACAAATGGAATTCTTTAAGTGTAAATACTTAAATCATGAAAATGAAGAAATAATGGGATTTTGTTTGAATCAGAATTGTTAAAATGCAACATAATATTGTTATG